GCTTTGATGATACTCCTGGAGGTGTTCCATAAGGACGGCTTTAACAATACCAGCGTTTCGTTCGGAGCGTTGCCGCTGGTATTTGCTCGGGGAGGTGCGGTAGTCCTCTACAATGATGGCAATCTTGTTCGCAAAGTCTTCTTTCTTCTTCAGCAAGTGCAAAGGGAGGAAGCCGACGTGGCATGCTTGCTCGCTGGCAACAAGGCGGAACACCTTGAGAACCTCTTCCAGGTTCCAACTTTCGCCTCATACCTCAAGGCGGCAAACAACCAGGTCGTCGACTGTAAGGCTATCCCCACAAATGTCATGGCAGGTACATGAGCGGGCCCCTTCACCGCTCGACACACCCATGATGTCGACAGCCTTCAGCTCCATGAATCGACGCGCACACAAACACTCTTGAGGTAATTTTACTGGTGCTATAAACCAACCAATAAAATCTTAGACGGGTACAGCCTCGTGGGGATTCTATAAAACGTTCTACAATGGCTCAGCTTTGAAATTGGGTACTACTAGACCAGGAGAAATGATGGGTACTGGTAGGTGGAGAATACGGTAGTGTGCTCTGAAATTAAAAGAAAGAAAATAAATATTACCAGTACCATAAAAACATTAAAAGTATATATTAAATTGCCTACTACTAGTAGCTTCGATCATTCCCAGTAGCAGCACTCGAACACGAGTTGCCCTTATCACAAGTACCACCGCCACAATTTGCCTGCCACAAGTACGCGACGACGTCTCCGCAAATCACCACCACATCAAGGTACAACCATAACAAGCTGACGCCACCTAAAACAGTAACAACCACAATATGCTAACGCGCATGACACCGTCACCACAAGCTCCAGTCCCGAAGTATCAGATAAGTCCAAGCAATACGTATCACGCTAACAAAAATCAATCGACACACACACAAGCAGAGTGGCTCAGTTCGGAGGTGGTAAATTGAGTTGTGAACCATTCATTACAATCCTCGTCACATCACAGCCAAGGCACGCAGATAACACTAGATTGTTCCCACCATCTGATTGGCTAAAACATACAACACACGTGCGTATCACATGCTCTACACCACACGTTAATTGGTCAATTCTCATGATGGAACATCACCAGTATTCCATTATTCCGGATAACTAATTTTATCCGACACTCCCACTTGTAGAGTTGGGTGATACAGGTGGACAACGTGTAGCAACATGGGTAAGTCGCACATGATTCTTCTTCAAGTTATGAACCCCCATGACATGGCGAAGGAATTCGAATTGCTTGACAGGTAGTGCCTTCGTTAGAAGATCTGCGAGCATTTACTCTGTCTTGCAGTATTGGACTTTGATTATCGCTTTCTCAACTAAGTCTCGAGCAAATAGATACCTTGTCTCGATGTGCTTAGTTGCTTTGTGATTTCCAGGATTATGAACAATGTCAATAGCGGCTGTGTTATCGCACCAGATAACAGTAACTATGGGGCCAGTTGGTTGAAATCCCATCTCTATAAGAATATGACGGACCCACTCACATTCTTTAACGCCTTCGCTTAATGCAACCAACTCAGATTCTGTAGTAGAAACTGAAACACAAGCTTGCTTGTTACATCACCACGAGATGCAGACTCCAGCAATTATGACAAGATAACCAGTGATGGATTTACGCTCCTTTTGTTGAATCGCGAAACTTGCGTCTGTGTAGACTTCAAAGGAAACACCTGCTTGTTTTCCGTCAACTAGAAGTCCATATGTAGACGTATCTTTCAAGTATCTTAGTACTTTCAGGGTTGCTTCCCAATGAGAACTATTGTAACAACTCAAACATTTGCTCAATTCCCGAACTGCATTAGCTATGTCGGGACGAGTACCACGCACTTAGTATTGTAATGATCCAACGAGTCCTCTGTAGTCAAAGGGCTGTGCTGCAATCCGAGTTGAAGCCATTTGAACTTCTGGTTTCAGTTCGACTCCCACTAGCTGTGGAGTGGTTGCTGTTCTACAACCTTCCATCTTGTATTTCGTCAAGAGATCCTTAATGAACTTCTCTTGTGAAAGTGCCATCGTTTTCTGCGACCGATTCCTCGTTACACGAATTTTGAGTATGTAGTTGTGATCGCCTAAATCTTTCATTTTAAAGCGTTGGCTCAGTTGAGATTGTAACTTATCAACTAAAACTTGGCTCTTTGAGATAATGGTGAGATCGTCAACATATGGATGTCAGGAACTCATGTAACAGTTGGTACCAAATTCGTGGCGCCTGTTTGAGTCCGTAGATACTCTTGATCAGTTTGTAGACCATATGTTTCTCGTGACCTTGGATATATCCGGGTGCTTGTCGCATGTACAACTCAGTGCCCGGTGGAATAGCACCATTTAAAAACGCGGTGTGTACGTCCATTTGCTTTATGATGCAATCAAAGATAACACCGATGGCTAGAACAAGTCTTAAGGATTCAAAGCGAGCAACTGGAGCATATACATCATCGCAGTCTACTCCGTATTCTTGGTGACAGCCTTGTGCTACAAGGCGGGCTTTGAATCTGTCAAGTGTACCATTTGAGTGGTATTTCACGGTAAACACCCAATGGCACGGCAGAGCCTGTCGCCCAGGTGGAAGTTCACACAATTTCCATGTACCATTGTCAATAAGCGAAGTGTATTCGTCGTCAATTGCTGCACGCCATTGAGAACTATATTTTCCAGATAATGCTTCTTTTAATGATCAGATAATGCTTCTTTTAATGATCGTGGAATTGGGATACGATTTGAATCATTTCGTTGATTGGTGATATGTCCAACATTTACATCATGAAGTGGTACATTATTTTCCAGTTGTCGTAGCCCAACTTCAAGGAGGTTTAGGGCTTGACTGGATTCGAGATGCTCAACTCTCGGGTGAACGTCAGGAAGTAAGACCTCTTCACGATGACTTCGAGACGACGCATTACAATTATAATCAAGGTAATGCGATGGCTTACGCTTACTGCGTACAGGACGAGGAAGCGGTTGAACAGTGGTGTCCTCGACGGACGAATGACTCCCACTAACACTGGAATCAGCAGAACGAGCACGTTTATCAGATTGTCGCTCATTTGTATATCGCTCCACATGGTTAGGATACTTTCGTTTACCATCCGATGTAAGTTCTGTAGTGTGATCATTTACGTCTAAATGATGCTCAACCGGCACGTCTGCCAGTGCACAGGATGGAATAGCGATATCCACAGACGAGTCAGAATGTACGTCATTGGGTGATGTAGATTTAGATTCACTTTGACAACCACTTTTATAACTTTCTGGTGGTTGAAGCAGGTCAACAGCACGAAGTTCAGTGTTGTCAATGGGGTCGCCACGTCAGCGAATGCTTTCTCTGTAATATCTCGGGCGTGTTCATGGTCAAAGGTGACATCCCTCGAAATGAGAAAGCGATTATTATGTATATCCAGCAGACGATATCCTTTGTAGTCCTCTGCCACACCTAAAAGGCGACATTTTAACGCACGACTTTCCAATTTCTTATCCTTTCGTAATTCCTTTGGAATATACGCATATCAGATGGCTCCCCAAGGTCTGATATTACTCACATCAGGTACTTCACCATGTAGTACTTCGAAGGGTGTTTTGTCATCCAGTCTGTGAGATGGTGTCCTATTTTGAAGGTACGTGGCATACATAAGAGCCTCAGGCCACCATTTTGACGTCATGACAGCATCTAATAGCATGCACCTGACTTTGGCAAACTTGCCATGATGGTCTCTTTCAACAGAGCTATTCTCTTCCGGTGAGTATCGATTTGACTTCTCGTATTTTACTCCGAGTTTTCGGAAAAACCCTAGAAGTGATTTGTTGTTAAACTCAGTCCCACCATCAGTACGCACTCGACGTACGACACTGTCACACTGTCGCTGGACGAGTTTCACGAATTCTTTGATACTAGTTGGAATGGTGTCCTTTGTTGAGTGAAGCGTAGCCCATCGATACGACGTCGCATCATCAACAATTGAACAGTAGTACCTAATCTGTCCAAGTGTTCCATACATTCCAGCTTGTTTAAGGGGGCCACAAGTGTCCATGTGAAGTGAACCAAGCGGGTCGGGGTACCTACTGCTGCCAATCAACCCTTTGTAGGACATTCGACGATGCTTTGTGCGGACACATGTCCTGCAGAAAATACGTAATCCACGTAAACAGTCAGGGTGAATACGAGGGGCACCGTTGACAGTACCCTTAGTCAACATCGAAATCAAAGTCACAGTATTGACATGTCCTAAACGAATATGCCATTCTATGATTAACTCTAAATTTATGACTCGTTGTTTTTTTTGGATAACTGTGACTGGTACGGGGGACCACATTACTTGAGCGCATCGAATTTGACGCTCGATATCAGTCCAACTTTTGACATAGTAATCACCATTTATCGAGGTGCCGATAAACTGAAGCTTGCAGTTTGAAAATACATACTTGTACAGTACATTGCACAGGCACTATCAACGATATGGTAGCCAGAACGCTTCAGAGCATTTTCACTCAGGATATTTGCCGTTGGGCCTGGCACGTAGGCAACACTTTGAAATATATACTGGACTACACCATTTGGAGACTCAAGCCACAACTTCGCAACTTCCATGTGTGTATTAACGAGTTTATGACCACCAGCAAATGCAAATGTGAATCCAGAATGCATTGTTAAGTTGGTTAGAAAACTAATGTCACCGGTCATGTGGTGGCCGCAACCACCATCGAGTGCCCATTCACGACTACTCATTTCACGACGAGTTAGTAAATTCGGACACTGTAATTTTAATACCTGGTCCATCTTTACGGACAGGTCACGCATGGATGCCGCCATCGTCTCGACACGAGGAGTGGACGTCGTGTCCACAGCCAACGCGGGAGAGTAGGACAGCATATCGCTGTCATCAGGGCACGAAAACATGTCGTCCATAGACATGTCCGGCAGGTCAAATTCTTGACGGCTTGGAGGCGATGCAGGCAACGCCACTTCTTCACGCGTCACGACGGCTCCGCAGGCCACTTCGGTGCGAACATCACGACCCTTGGGCACCGCATCTTCGATTCGCCGCGGTTCTTCGAAAATCGAACTATGCGCCCAGCCTCGCCGAAAGTCATCCTGGCGCTTAGGGCAATCCCACTTCATGTGGTCCACGCTGTTGACGTTGTATTTGCCTTCACAGTAGAAGCACTTGCGGCTCTTTGGAGTTGCCTTGGAAAACGCCTTTCCGGTGTCATGACGCTTGCCTTGATTGGCTAGATTTCCGGATGATTTTCGTTTCCCATGGTTCTGATTGGAGGAAAAGTTAGCATTGCTGACCGGAATATCCGGTCGTGGAGTTTGACCTCCCATGGTCAAAATTGCATGTTTCTTCTTTTGACCAAAAACTCCATCAAGTTTAGCCTCTACCTCAGCTAGGTTAAAAGACCCATCGTACTTGATTTGTGCACCATAAAACTGAGAGGGTAGTTCATTCAATGCCATGTAAATGATCAAGTCATCAGTCACACTGTTGCGACCAAGGTGTTGACGAGATTGGGCATTGATCAGGTTCTTGAGGGACTTCATCTCGCCAAACCATGACTGGATGTTGTCAAAAGGCTTTTGAGCCGTTTTAATTAATTGACCCAAATAACCAGTCACAGATGAAACATTCGAAGTCCCGTAGCGACTGTCGACTTCAGACCACACCTCATGCACAGAAGTTTTTCCATCAGTCGTGTCACGTAGCTGCTAGACAAACGACTTAGGTAGAAGACTATACAGGTAGAAGC